AATTATATCGAATAAGATTAGATAATTTCATATATTTATTCGTTAGTTAGTTTAGATATTATATTTTGTTTTTTTAAAGAACTTTGTGTTTTAATTATTTTTTTTTGTTAAAACAGATATTTGTAATATCCGGATATACGCAAATATCCAGAAACAAAAAACTAGATTTCTGCAATTTCGGATATCCGAAATTTTCAGAAGCAAATCAATTCAGAAAATTAGATGTCTAACAAAAACAAATCGAATCACAAATACTCAAGTCTATCTAAATGTTTTTTTGATGGTTTACCTGACAAGAGATTAATACAATTGTTTTGATTAATCGAGCGTTGACCCAAAACAATTAAAAGTGAAAAGTGAAAGAGAGTTGAGACTCAACTTGAGAGCCAAAAAGGAAATCCAAATACAGTAACAGTACAGAGCCGTATCATGTTTCAAGGGATCTATCTACGTGATCGCAGGTTGCAAATCCCAGTTTTCAACCCCATTTTCCATGTAAGGAAATGTAATAGGGTTATTTTAACGCAATCAGCTTTGTCCAATTGGATATTTAAGGTTTGGCTTTGATCTATGTAGCCTCCACGATCAACCGCCATGTCGACCAAGGATACTTGCTTCACTTCCCACGCAACTCTGCGTTCAGTAAATACAAAGTCAAAATCTACAACTTCCCCAAGAACTTTGTGTTCAGTTGAATCGAGATTAAAAGAAACTACGGAAATTACCGGTAAATTTTCTTTAGTTCTTCAGGAATCTCTTGGACATTTGCCACAGATCCGTTCTCACGAATGATCTTGCTTTTGAGAGCTTCACTCCAAAGTCCCATATCAGTTAAGTCATGAAGAAGATGCTTATTCACATGCACGATTTCACCACTGAAAAAAACGAGTAAGCAAGTGTGGGGAAAGCTAGAAAAGCAAACGATTCGATCACACACCTCAAGCCTCTGTGGCTGTAGATGTTTGATGTATATGGCTCGAAACTTTCGCTGTTCCCGAGAATCTGACTGGTTGAACCAGTTGGCATCAATGCTACCAAAAGAGAGTTCCTCACTCCATTCTTTGATATCATGTCCCTAAGCAAATCCCAGTCCCAACGCTTTGATGGAGTTACATTCCACATGTCTGGTTGAAGAATCCCCTAAAAGAATCATCGCAAAAAGGTTAGCGACACAATCCACTACACGACGATATTGAAATAACTGCGGGGTGAGAACATGCATGCCTTGCTCACGGGACTTCCTTTGTATGTCTCGTACGCACCATATATTATAGTAAGCTCTGAAGATGCTTTGAGTGCATGGTAGTATATGGTTTCAAATATATCCTTATTCAGTTGCCGGGCCTGAGTAACAGATCAAACTGCTTAGAACAGAGTAAGCAAAATTACTTCCTAAGGTTTATGGTCATTACGCAAAAGAAGTCTACCTCTGGAGAGTCAAATGGCATTCCAAGGAGGATAAATGCATCTGCAAGACCTTGTACACCTATACCAATAGGTCTATGACGCATGTTTGAAGTTCTTGCAGTGTCCACAGGATAGTGATTTACATCAATGATCTTATCTAGATCACTAGCAACAATTGCGGTTACCTTGG